ATTATCCTCCTCAGGATTTTCATCATGTGTTTCTTTATAATATTCCATCGGAATGGCAGGTTCTGGAGTCTCCTCACATTCCTGTCTAGAAGTGCTTTGTGCATCTCTAATGGGGAAAATGTCCTCAAAGAATGTAGCATCCTTAGACTCCATAATTGTACTGACGTTCATGTCAGGTACCTCAAATTTCACTACTAGAAATTTATAGCCAACACTATTCATAGCGTAGCCCAAATTAACACAGTCCACAGTCTTTGATCCATCCTTACGCTTTTTGGGGATCGGCACATTTACTTTCGCCAAGCAACCCCAAGTTCGTAAGTACGAGAGTGTTGTCCTTCTCTTGGTCCACTTCTCATAAGGAGTGATCTCGTTATCCTTTGTCGGAACTTTATTCAGGACATGACATGATGTCATTATAGCCTCCCCCACCATGCCTTGGATAAACCCGACGTATCTAACATGGCGTTAACCAAATCAGTTAGAGTACGGGTTTTCCGCTCGGCAACCCCGTTTGATTGGTGTGAGTAGGGAGGCGTCCTCTCATGAATAGTACCGTGTTCCGCACAGAAGGCATCAAACTCTTTCGAGAAGTACTCTCCACCACGATCTGACCGGACTCGTTTAATTTTCTTTTCGAGTTGATTCTCAACTTCTGCCTTATAGATTTTAAAGTAGTGTAGAGCCTCATCTTTGTTATTTAACAGATACACATAGCAATATCTAGTGGAATCATCTATCAAAGTCATGAAATATTTCTTTCCACCTTTAGTCAACACACCATTCATCTCACAAAGATCAGAATGTATGAGTTCAAGTGGCGCCAAGTGTCTCTCCTCTGCTGCCGTGTGAGGCTTGCAAGGTTGCTTAGATTGCACACACGAATGGCACTTAGAACCTTTGGCTAAAGTGAAACTCAGGATTAAATTTGATTTTGCTAGCCGCGTCATAACACTGAAACTAATGTGACAAAGACGTGAATGCCAGACTTCAGATTCATTAACACTCAAATGAATATTGTTCATGACTTTATTACATAGATCTGCAAGAGAAAGGCGGAACATGCCTTCGCATTCATAACCCTTTCCAACAAATAGTCCATATTTTGTAACAACTAATTTATTAGACTCGAATACCAACTTAAACCCTTCTCTACATAGAAGGGAGCCACTAACGAGGTTCTTCTTGATGGCGGGGACATGCTGCTCGTTCTTTAGATGCACGATCCTGCCCGAAGTAAACTTCAGATCGACCGTGCCAACACCAAGAACAGAAGCACTCACACCATTCCCCATCAGTACGGACCTGTGACCTGTGGCCTGGTAAGAAGAAAACAATGAAATGTTAGCACACACATGAACACCTGCACCTGTGTCGACCCACCAATCGGTGGACGGCCAAACTGAAAATATAGCAAATAAATTACCGTACCCAGATGCACCACTCTCATTGTTGCTCACAATCATATTGACGGACTTGGAGTCCTGCCCTTGCTTCTTGTACTTGTTTGGGCACTTGTTGGCCCAATGTTCAACCAAACCACAAGTAAAGCAGCCCTCATCCTTCTTGTTCTTCAGGAAGGTCTTCTTACCCTTCTTCTTAAAGTCGGCATTCTGTTGGACACCGTTCTTTCCCTTGGGCTTGTGGGAATTGGATTTCTTTTGGTGCACCATATTGGCCACAGAAGTTCCTTCGAGCCCTTTTCCGTGCGAGTCCTTTGCCCTTGAATTCTGCTCAACACTCAGATGGCCAATGACATCCTCCACAGAGAATTCACGCCTCCGATGTTTCAGAGTGGTGGCAAAGTTCCTCCAGGAATTGGGGAGCTTAGCGATTATGCAGCCCGCGACAAACTTGCCCGGTAACTCGCACTTAAGAAGCTCAAGCTCCTTAACAATGCATATTATCTCATGAGCCTGCTCCAATACAGGACGGTTTTCAACCATCTTGTAATCGTGAAACTGCTCTATAATATACATCTCGCTCCCTCCATCGGCAACCCCAAACTTAGATTCGAGCGCCTCCCACAAGTCCTTGGCAGACCGCATATGTAAATACGCATCAACCAGCTTATCTCCAATCACGCTCAGAACTGCCCTGAGGAACACGACAGTGACCTCCTTGAACGCTTTCTCCTGTTCAGGAGCGATCGTTCCTATGGGAGTCACACCAGCGACCCAGAACACGTTCATGGCCGTGAGCCATAAGGTGGTTTTAGTCTGCCAACGCTTATACGTCCCCGTAAACAGGGACGGTTTCAGTGCAGCAGTAAAACCGGAATTCGAAAAACTCCTACACACGTTAGGTTTTTGGATTGTTGAGTAAATAGGCAGTTTTTCGAATAAATTAATCCACGAATGAAACATGAGCATGACATTGACAGCATTGATAACACACTGATTACGATCTAACAGAGCATGTACTACGCACATAGTAGAAGCATCTACGCATATCGCTAGTACTACTACAACAGAAAGAAACACGAGAGGGATAAGCGATGTATACCCTCCAATTGGCCACGCGGCGGCAGTGACGGTGGCAGCAGCCGCGGCATCCTCGGCAGCCTTCTTTGTCGGCCTCGGCCTTCTCAGCGGCGGCACGGTTGGTGTCGGTCGACATGGTGATGACGAAGGTGATTCAGACGTAGATGAACAAAAGCGAGCAATCGCGTAGTCGCTACCCAAAAACCTAATCGCCCCTCTCCCGTACAGGATCCGGAGAGGCGGGGTTTCGGAGGCCTGCTCTCCCGTCAACCGTGTACGCGGTGAACGGGATGGAGTCACCGGCGGCAGCAGCAGCAGAGGAACGACGTGGGCGTGGAGGCATAGATGCATTCTGTTTTGCGGTGGCTAGGGTTGGCAGCACCCCACATATATATGTGCGGCCGCGCGTGGAGAGACGTGGGCTGAACCCACATCCAAGTCGGTAGCCCATGATCTGACGTCTCAGATCGTGGCCCTACCTGTCAAAGACTTTCTGTTCCTGACCGGCAAAAAGAAGCGCATAGGAGTGAGCTTGGCTCGGCTCAATCCCGCAACCCGTGGCGCGGCACGTCGTGACGAGGCGTGGCATGGCGAGCGGAGAAGGAGGAGTGCGCGAGGGCTTCTTTTCTTCTCAAGCTCCAATAGCATGAGGGAGAGAATCCTTTATAAACTACTCCAACTCTCCTTCCACTAGCATGGTGGGACTAAACTTCCCACCACCTTGTCATGCCACCTACATGGGCCCTTAGAGATTAAATCTGAAATTGCCATATGGGCTCTAGGCCCATCTCATATTTCAACAGCAACACACTTGCCCATGAACTTGCAGCTGAAACCAAAAAGAGCGAAGACCAGATGATGACCGCAGAAGTACCGGAGGGACTTCGACCACTGTTGGGGCTCATTTGGTAACCAGGGATCCTCCCGGGATCTCCTTCCTTTCCCTGGCTGAAAAATACCTAGGCCGAATCGATCTCGGGGAGCGTACCGCCGCATTTGGTGACCCACGAAGGGGAGCGACCCCAGCCCTTTCCCCGGACCTTCCCCGACCGAGATTTCCAGGTCACCACAGGCCGTGGAGGAAATCCCCATCTCGCTCGCTCCCGCGAGTCACTAACAACGATCGAGAGCGACCCTGCCCGCTCCTTCCTCCCTCGAGCGTTGCGGCCTTCCGGTGACGGCGGCGGTAACCGTCCGGTGGTTTTCCTCTTCTCTCCTCCAAGCTCCCCTTCGCCTAGAAACCCTTCTCTGCTTCGAATCTGTCTGTGCCCGGCCGGCCGCGCGGTGTTGTAGATCTCATGGTGTTCGGCGACTGACGGCTTTGCCTCCCACACGCATGCGCCGCTGCTGTCACCTTTGTGCTCAACATCAACGCCTTCAGATCCTCCACAAACGGCTGCTGAGCGGCAGTGACAGTACGACGGTGATTGATGCGGAAGACTTCTGGTGCTCATCGACAACGTCTGCACCATGGCCACTGGGAATTTGACTGCTTCAATTATTTGTCTCCCGGTTTGGCCTTCCCCAATCCCCAGTTACCCCTGAGCGCCGACACCCAAAGGGCGATGTAGATTCTCCACCGGGTTCAAGTTTGCACGAGCTAATTTCACCCGAGGCACTTATTCCCTGGGAATAGCTCCCCTGAAATCCAAATGAAGCCTTGATGTCTGAATGTCCCGGTCTTGTTTGAGTAGTTCTATATTGCTCTAGTTCTAAAAAAAACAGAATGATGGACGTGCAATCGCGGCCGGATGGACATAACTTTGATCTACTTTGTCAGAGTCTCCTCATCTTCTTTTATAGGTTGGTTTGTGTTACTTTGGTATATTATAGCGGCGTGAAAGCATATTTCAAGATTATTAGGAGAGGGGTAGATGGTTTTCGATGGGGGGCTGAAGTCTCGATGGCAGAAGTAAGTGTGGGAAAAAACGCCAAGAAATCGAGGCAAAAAGGCCGATGTAGAAGGGAGGTGGAGGGCGTTTTTAAGATACGAGAGAGGAGAAAATTTGTACTTGCTCTGTCCGAAAACATTTATCGGAGAAATAAATAAGAATGGATGCACTTAGAGCAAAAATAAGTCTAGATACATTCATTTATTTGGTAAATACTTTTTAACAGGGGGAGTACTACTATGTTGGGCAATGTCAAGCCAGATAAGCATGTGGGTTAGGCGTTCTCTGAAAGCACACACGCATCTGCATTTTGACGTGGCATCCATTTCTACCCGAGCCTCGCGAATAACGAGAGGGCCTCACCCGGTCACGCTCCCCACTCCCGCTCCTGATTGGCCCGTGGTCACTTCACGCGGATCGCCCCCCGCGAGCGAACATCCACCGTCCACGCCCCCCTCCATCCAACGGCCCGCGCCGCACGTCACGCGGATCGCCCCCCGCATTCCATCCCGCGCCGGGGTATATATACCCCGAACGCGGCCGCTCCAGACTCAAACCACATCAATCAATCAATCCCACCTACTCCACCTCTCGCCGGAGCCCCAGCAAGGAGCAAGCAAGGAAGATGGACGCCGGCAAGCTGAAGAAGGTGGCCGGGAAGAAGTTCGGCGGGCCGAGGAAGAAGTCGGTGACCAGGTCCGTCAAGGCCGGGCTCCAGTTCCCCGTCGGCCGCATCGGTCGCTTCCTCAAGAAGGGCCGCTACGCCCAGCGCGTCGGCTCCGGCGCCCCCGTCTACCTCGCCGCCGTCCTCGAGTACCTCGCAGCCGAGGTATGCACACCACGCCGCCGTCCTTCCTTCCTTCCTTCCTCTTTACATCCTCTCCGGTCATGTGCTGACGGCGCGACTGTGCAACGCAGGTGCTGGAGCTGGCCGGGAACGCCGCCAAGGACAACAAGAAGAGCCGCATCGTGCCCAGGCACCTGCTGCTGGCCATCCGCAACGACCAGGAGCTCGGGAGGCTGCTGTCCGGCGTCACCATCGCCCACGGCGGCGTCATCCCCAACATCAACCCGGTGCTGCTCCCCAAGAAGGCCGCCGAGAAGGCTGAGAAGGCCGGCACCGCCGCCAAGTCGCCCAAGAAGGCCACCAAGTCCCCCAAGAAAGCCACCAAGGCGTAGATTGTAGTAGTGCGGTGTGCTGATTGTTCGAGTTTGGTTAGATGTAGTAGCTGCTTCACTCTGTATCCTGCGCCCCTGATGTAATCGCGAACAAAGGGGAAGCCGCTTGCTTCCTCTTGACTTATGAATTATCAACTAAGCGTTTCTGAACTGAATTTGTCTCTGTTCATTTATTCAGATTTGGAACTGAACTAAATTTGTTTCATGAATTATTTGGGATCCAATGAGACCCTCCATTCATAAGCTCACATAACGAGCACAAAATCCTCTCATATTTGTACAGACCATAGCTGAAATGTAACTGACGAACAGAACTGAAGCTGTTGCTCACATGGTGGACAAATCTTCAGGTTCCTCTTCCGTTGTGCAATTCCTAGAGCCGGAATGTTTACCAGGGCTCTGAAGCTACACTCGTCTGTCATGTGAACAATTCTGCTGCGCACATTCTGATTGGGCGGCACACATTTTTTGCCCCATTTCTGGAAGCTAAATAAATATATCACCGCCTCCTCTGTCAGACAACTCAACGGCTGCTCAAGCTCTCGTTGAACCTGTTGTGCGTCTGCTCCATTGTCGAGTGGCAAAAAAAAGGCTTACTCTGCTGCTAAACCAAGACGTGTTCCGATCTTGTGAATGCGACGAGCCGGTGGCGTAGGCGACAAAATATTGCAGTATCTCCAATGGATGGTCTGCTGGATTTCGTTTACTGATAATGCGCCAAGCAAATCGTAGCGAATCAAGAGTAATAATACTGCTAAACCTGTTTCCCTTTTTTAAAGAGGGAACGAATCTGGAGAATATATAAACAGTACGACAACGCGAGTGTTAGACAATCCAACGTGAGATAAGCACACTTTGAGTTCGGCTTAATATCCGAGCCAAGAAGACACACGACAACAGAAAGAATGGAGAACATGGTGGGAAATGCATTGGAGCACCCGGGTACCACACCCCCCTATATGAAAATAGCACTAAAAAATAGGAATTTCTATTTTCATGGCCCTTCTTCCTTTGTTCTGCTCAGGTTTCCCCGTCCATCTAAGTGCGTTCACTTTTGCTCCCCAACACTTGCCCGCGCCTCAGAAAAGGCCAAATGGTGTCTTGCCGACTGGTCAAAGCCTTTGACCGTTACTTCCCGGTGCTGACGCGTGGGCCCAATCTAAGATGATGACATGTGGGACCGATTGGTGCTGAGGCATGGGGCCGACGTGAGATGATGACATGTGGGATCGGTTGGCGGACAACCGGTGCTGACGCGTTTGTCTAAAAAAGAGGGGGACGAATTATCTCTCTCATTTCGCACCCCCCGCGGCCCGAGCAACCCAATTCCACCTCCACCTCCCCCATCCCCGTCCCCACCCCCTAATCCCGTAGCCACCGTCGGCTGACGCGACTATGGAGGTGTTCTGCGCCGGTGACCCTGTCTTACTAGAGAAGTGCAAGGAGATCTCCTATTGGTTTCCTAGCACACAAGTTCTGGCGGAGCATGCTGTAGCGACCAGACTTCAAACAGTCTGATCTCTGTGCATCAGTGTCATCCTTGGATCAGTAATGCTGACACGCACAGTATTTGAAGGATTTATAACAGAGTGACAATCACACACTTATTACATCGAATGTCTCAAAAGAGAACTTATTACAATAAATATGGCTTAAGACCATCTAATAACGATAACAACGGAAGGCTTGGAAAATAAGTGAGTCCATCAACTCCAATGGCATCACTGAGTATAGGACCACGATCCTAAGGCATCTTACTCATCGTCTGAAAAGTCTGCAACATAAACGTTACAGCCCGAAAACGGGTCAACACATGGAATATGCTGGCAATGTAACACATAGAGAGTAATGAACAAAAATATGCTATACTACATGCATATATGGCTGGTGGAAAACTCTATGGTTACAGTTTTACATAAAGCCAAATTTTCCCTACTGCAAAGGAATAAATTTTATTTAACTATCATGGTGGTTGTTAATCATTGAGAATGGTTGACAACATTCTCAATCCCAATTAAATATCATCATTTAAACCCCACAATAGTAATTTAAAGTAACATGATGAGAATTCACTTGATAATTCAAGTACTAGATACTCAAAACGTCCATAACCGGGGACACGGCTAACCATGATTAGTTTATACACTCTGCAGAGGTTTGTGCACTTTTCCCCACAAGACCCGATATCCTCCGTTGGTTTTCTCGCACTGCATGGTGTTTGAGAAACGGATGACCGAGACATAGTCTTTCAGAAGCGCTAGCACCTTACGATTGGGTAGACCTGTACACCTACTTTCCCCTACATCTGCTAGTCTACCACTGTAAGAGTTCGCATGACTTAATCAACTATGCTAGAGCCCATAATAGCATGTGGCTGCACACGGAAGTTTCTAGCATGAATAATCTTATGATCCCTTTGAGTATGGGTGGCGGTCCATAGGAAAAATCACACGGTACCCCGGGATTTCCAAAAATACAGGCAACACTGGATTCTCCAGGTGCTTCAATCCACCCAGATGTGTATTAAAGTTGCCACCTTAAAATAAACCCTTAATTAACAATCTCACATCTGTCATGGAAACACTCACCCAATCCGCGTCTACTAGCATAGCATGGCAATAAGCAAATGTAGAAGTAACTCCCAAGGGTTTAATAATAAAACAGGTGATAGATACTACCTCATCTACTTCCCAAAATCCACATATTAATCAGATCCTAATCATGCAATTGTTTGAGGAATGATCTAATGCAATAAAACTGGGTAGTAAGGAGGTATGATCAAAGTGTTACCTGCCTTGCTGATGATCCATGAAACCTAGAGATTCGAAGTAGCAAGCGGCGCACTCCGGGTACTCTATCGCAAACAAACAAGCATACAATAAACACTCATCTAATGCACGGATAAAACTCAAATAAGAGATTTAACCAGAAAGTTCAACTTAAGGACTCCGGTTTGCAAAAAGAATCAAATCAAATGAAGCAACGAAAGTCAAACGGCGAAAGAAACAGACTTCGTTTACTAATCTGGATGTAAGTCTAATTTTACAGTAGCAAAAACTTGTTTGAGTTGGTTAAACGGAAAGAGGGTTTCGAGACGAAACTCTGGGCGCTTGAATCGCCAGATTCCGATAAACGAGCAAAAATATAAACTAAAACGAAAAACAGATCGGAAATCGCGATCAGAAATAATCACGGAAAATCCGAGAAAAAGAAAAACTGACGAACAGGCTAACGAATGAACATTCGCTGTCTGCGGCTAAAAGATGAAAACCGTTCGTTAAAACGAACGTACGAACGAACGTCCACTAAATAAACTAAACAAAAAAAACAGATCTATGTTTTTTTTAAAAAAAAAACCGACCGAAAAACCGGCGGAAAACCGAACGGTTTTCTCGAGGAAAACCGTCGGCGGCAAGGCGGCGACTACCTCCGGCGAGGGGGCGGCGGGGTCCGGCGGCGAGGTGGCGGCGTCCGGCGGGGTCGGCGATGGGGTGGCGGCGTCGGCGGCGGGGCGGCGCGGCGCGGGATCCGGCGGCGGCGGCGGCTTAGGGTTAGGGTTTGGGCGCGGGGCGGGCTGGTGGCTCGGGTGGGCTCGGGCGGCGCATTATAAAGGCCCGGCCAGGCGGAGTCCTGGCCGAACACGGCCCAAAGTCGTATTCGTTTTTTTAAAACATTACGCGCAGAAAAACAAATAAAATAAATACTAAACGGGCTCCAAAAATCCCGAAATAAATTTTTCCCGACTTCTAAAATCAAGCCGGTTTAGATGAACATTTATTTGGGGCCTAAATGCAATTTTGAAAAACGTGCATTTTTTCCTAATTCAAATAAAATAGCAATAAAATCCAAAATAAAATCTTATTTGATTTTTTATTAAATCCTCAATATTTCTCTATTTTGGGAAAGTCATTTTATTCCCTCTCTCATATTTTATTATAGAAATAATTGAAGATAAAATAAATAAAATCAAATGATCCTATTTTCAAAATTTGAGAAAACTCAAATATGAAAATAACGAAATTCCCAACTCTCTCCGTGGGTCCTTGAGTTGCGTGAAATTTCTAGGATCAAGCCAAAATGCAATAAAATATGATATGCAATGATGATCTATGTATAACATTCCAAATTGAAAATTTGGGATGTTACAAACCTACCCCCCTTAAGATGAATCTCGCCCTCGAGATTCGGGTTGGCTAGAAAATAGGTGAGGGTGGTCCTTCAGCAGATCTTCCTCTCACTTCCAGGTGGCTTCCTTCTCGGTGTGGTGGCTCCACTAAACTTTGCAAAACTTGATAACCTTGCTGCGGGTGACTCGGGTGGCATACTCAAGAATCTTTACGGGTTTTTCCTCATATGTCAAATCACTATCCAACTAAATCGCTTCTAGCGGCACTGTATCTCTCAGCGGTATATCAGCCATCTCTGCGTGGCATTTCTTCAACTGGGACACGTGGAATACATCATGAACTGCTGACAATCCTTCGGGCAATTCCAACTTGTAGGCAACTTCTCCCATACGCTCCAAAACTTTGTATGGTCCCACAAAACGTGGCGCTAACTTCTCTTTAACACCAAAATGCTTAACTCCTCAAAGTGGAGATACTCGAAGATAAACTCTGTCTCCGACTTCGTAAACTGTGTCCTTGCGTT